CTCCTCCTCCTCCTCCTCCTCCTCCTCCTCCTCCTCCTCCCCCCCTCCTCCTGGGGCGCGTTCACATCTTGCGCGCCCGGCCTGCCAGCGTCCTCTACCGCCTGTGTTCCCAGAAATGCTCGCGTCGTGACAAGAAGATTGACGGATTTTGTTTGGGATGTTGTCGGCCTCCAGGGGGCCTTCGCCTAGCCCCACCATCAAAAGACGACTCGGGATGAAGAGCTGGCCCCCAGGGAGAGGGTTGGGACTTCCAGGGACCGGTCGGTCACGAACCGTGCCTAGACGGCGCATCGGTTGCAGATCACATGCGCGAGTGTGAGGACAGTGGCATTGCAGCGTCAAGTGGGGTTGTGTAGAAATCTTCACGCCCGACCCCGCCAAGAAGCCCACATGGTGGACGACCAGGAGAGCAACGGCAGCGGGGGGTTGGGGAGCAGGGTGCCCCGCAGGATAGAATAACAAGGCAGCGCATGTCTGGGTTTCCATTTGTGTTCAATGGGGCTGCGGCAACAACCTTTCACTCCCTGGGGTAGAGAATTGGCGCTTGCTGCACTCGGCCAATCTGGTGAGCCGGTCCTAGTTAATATTTATCATGTCTTACCTTTTAGCATCCCCTATAAGGTTGGATCGAGATACGTTGCACCGGGAGTCTCCTAATCAATCACACGCGCTTGCGAGTCAAGATTCTGGTGCCCAGAGGCGTGTTTTTGGGAACGCGGCCACCGTCGCCGCCTCCGTTGCTGGACGTGCCGATATCGTCCGGGTGCACGAAGTCCGAGAGATGGCACAGACCGCCCGCGTCTGCGACTGCATCTATCCAGCTGCCTGCGGCAAGTCCCGCCTCCGTGCCACCCCAACCTTTCTGGATGCGACTGTTCGGGGGTGCGCGGGAGGCCGTCACGTGTGACAACCCGTGTCTCCAACCTTGGGAGAGCCGCGATCATGACTATGCTGATGCTTATGCTGCTGATGATGATGATGATGATGATGGTGGTGATGATGTTGTTGATGATGATGTTGACGATGATGATGGTGACGGTGATGGTGGTGGTGATGGTGATTATGATGATGGTGATGATGTTGTTGCTGATGATGATGATGCTGACGGTGATGATAATGCGGACGAGGATGAAGATGTGAATGAGGTTGAGAATGATAATGAGTAGGATTAGGATGAGGATGAGGATGCGGACGCTGATGCTAATGCTAATAGTGATGCTGAAGTTGATGATCATGATGGTGATGACGGTGATGATGAGGATGTTGATGCTGATGGTAATGATGCTGATGATGAGGATTATGATTTTGATGACGGTGATGATGACGATGATGCTGTTGCTGATGATAATGATGATGATTATGATGACGATGATGATAGTGATGATGCTGATGATGATGATCCAGATGATGATGTTGATGGTGCTGATGATGCTGCTGCTGCGGACGATGGTGAAGATTATGATGCCTCTGCTGCTGCTGCGTGATGATGATGACGAAGATGTTGATGATGATGTTGATGGTGATGATACTGATGATGAGGTTGATGATGTTGCTGATGATGATGCTGATGGTGATGGTGATGGTGATGGTGATGATTATGATGATGATGATGATGATGATGATGATGATGATGATGATGATGATGATGATGATGATGATGATGATGATGATGATGATGATGATTATGGCGATGGCGATGGCGATGGTGATGATGATGGTAATGAAAGTGAGGATAATGAGGAGGAGGAGGAGCAGCAGCAGCAGCAGCAGGAGCAGGAACAGGAGGAGGCGGAAGAGGAAGGCCGTCGCGCGTGACACCTTGCGTCTTCACTATTTGAAAAGTTCTCGTGGAACTCGTTCGGGCTGTCTTGTGGCTGGCCAGGCCTTCTGTGAGGCAGTCTTGGGGGTCCCTTGGGGCCCTCTTGAGCCGTCTTGGGGCCCTCTTGGGTTGACTTGGGGCTCTCTTGGGCCGTCTTGGTGCCCTTTTGGCAGTATGGTGGGTGCCTGGCAGGCTTCGTTGGGCCGTCTTGCCGCTTTCTTGGGCAGTCGAAAGGCCTTCTAAGGCCATCTTGGGTCTCACGGGAGGCCCTCTCCGGCCGTCTTGGATTCCCCTTGGCCCTCGTGGTGTCCTCTTGGGTAATTTTTGGACCCTCATGGGGGCATCTTGGGCCGTCTCAGGGCCATCCAGGGGGCTTCTTGGGCCGTCTCAACGTTATGAAGGCCCGCAACGCCAGAATGCGAAAATCAATACACATTAAAAATGGAGAATAGTGATTTGGGCTTCTCCAGCCCTTCTGGAGGTCTTTTTGAGGCCTTTTTGGTTGGAGGCATCTTGGGCCGCCTCGACGCCATATTCGGCCGTCTTTGGGCTGTCTTGGCCAGTCTTCGAGGCATCTTGGGCCACCTTGTTTGGCCGTCTTGGAAGCTCGGGGGGGCGGACACATCGCCTCTACTCTTCTGAGGGATCGTGGCCTGGGCAGCGAGGATCTTTTGTTTTTCAGGGGCGGCCGTGGCCTGCGGAGCAGGGGAGGGTGCGTGCAGCTGTCCGCGAGCTGGGGGTCGGGGGGGGGGCTCCCCTGCCAGACTGTGCAAACAAATCCTGCAGAGCAGCGCCTGGCATTCTGACGCGCCCACATCCTGCAGGCACGGCGGCGGATCGGAGCGGTGCCGCGGGCGCCGCCAGCGGCGTGAAATAGCGCCGGTCGGGCGGTGAGCGGAGCGGCAGATTCTCTTGGAGGCTTCGCGCACGCTGTGCGGTCGGCCGAAGAAAGCCGCCCCCGGCACGGCTGCCAGCGCTGCAAGTTCTGCGCCGGGGGGGGGGGGGCGGTGATGCAAGACGGAAGATGGAAGAGGGGCCCCTCTGAGATCCTGGCGTCTCAGTGGTTTCGAGCCAGGCGTGTTTGCCAAGTCTCGGGCCATGGCTGAGGAAGATGGGGTCCAGGGCTCCCGTCGCGATTTTGTGGGATGTTTCATTTTTTGTTGCGCCGTCGGATCTCACCGAGCGCGTTCCACTACTCGCAAAGTGCCTACTCGCAAACGTCCGGAAAACCATACGTCCGCCTTCGTGCAATATATCGTAGATTTCCCGTGGCGGATCCAGGTTATTTGCGAGTAGTTCCTTTGCGAGTAGTGGGACGCGCTCGTCTAGGACCTCAGGGGCGAGGCCGCGTGCAGTCAAGACACCGGAATGAGTGCCACCTTGGGCTCAGGAGGGGTTCTGGTTCTCGGGCCGTTCCTCGGATCTGGGTCGGGGCGCCTGTTCGAGGCCGAGGCTCGCCGTGGCCATGAGAGCCCTTTCGTTCCTCATGCAGCACTCCTCGTGGCAGCACGGGGACTGTGGGGGGCAGGTGCTGCTTCTCTGGTGGCAGGATCAAGCCGCCGTGTGATTGCCCCTCTGATGTCTGCGGAGAGGCCGCATCGTGTCGGGTCCGTGATTCGAGAAATGTTGGACCTTACGGCGTCCGCACCTGTGCTTGTCGGCGTCATGGTCCGAGTTAGGAATGCACAGAAAGGTTGAATCGGTTCTGCCTCGGGCCACTCAAACGGTGTTCCATGTCCTCAGGGGCAAGTGTGTCACCACGGCGGTGTGGTGCGTGTATATATATATATATATATGTGTATGCACACGCCGTGTGCACAGCACCATCCATCCTTCACCCATCATCCCAACACACTGCGTTGCGCAGGGCGATTTACCATTAACAGAAAGAGGAGGCTAACAGCTCGTTGGGTCTGCCAACTGAGATGCTGCGATACCGGATCAATCCTTCAGCATAAACGGTCGGCGGCGCGCCAGACAAGAAACGACAACAAATTAAGCACAACCATCGGGGGTGGACAGATCTCGTACCCTGACACGTCGATTAGTGAATTGTCCGTTTTCGGTTCTCGAGAGGGCGCTGCGGTCGTCAGTTTCCAGGCTTGTGCACGCCAGGTTTGGGCCCGAGGGCGTTTTCACCAAACCATGTTTTACTAAAGGGGGTTCTGTCCCTCCCCGAAACCACGCACAAGAAACTGACCAGCGGCGCGCCGCTCGCAAGGCGACTGGGCTTCTCAGAAACACCCAGGCCTTCCGATCAGGCCCTCTGCGCCTTCACCACGGGCGCGTTGCCGAATGGATGTCCTTCCCGATTGGTGCTGCCCGACCAATACTGGCTGGTGCCATCCCGAGGAGGCGCGGCTCCTGGAACGCATCCTGACCGCCGGGAACAGACCAAACCTCCCGATTACCACAGAACTCGATGCTGCTCTGTCGGGCCAGTCCGTCAACATCGGGATTCCCAGGAGGAGGGCGGAGGAGGGCTTCGGGGAGCGGGGGGGAGCTTGAAGGAGAAGGAGGGCATTGGGTGCGCCGCCGAAGTGATGCCCTTTACCATCGGTGCTCGCCGACCAGTGCCAGCAGGCCTGCTCGCCCCGCAGTCCCCGCCGCCCAGGCTCACGCAGCATCCCGAAAATACAGACGGGAGGCGGCAGCGCGGCGGGGGCGTGGTGGGGCACCAAAGGTGCGACAGTACCCCAGAGACTCCCGCCAGGGTGGGCCCTCGCTGGCACGCACAGTCCAAGGGGACCGTGCTACACCAGGAAAGGGGCCGACGCACAGAGAGAAACAGAGAGAGAGAGAGACACACAACAACAAAAAAGAGGAGGAGGAGGAGGAGGAGGAGGAGGAGGAGGAGGAGGAGGACGAGGAAAAGAGGCGCATCACGCCGGAAGTGACAGCCAGGCCGTGCACGCGAAAGAGGCTCAACCCATTGCGGCGGGGACGACCCGGAAGGTGGAGAGGAGTAGGGGAGAGAGCAAGCAGGGGCAGAGGCAGGAGTGGAGCCCGGAGAGACGACGGCGGGAGACCCCACGACGCGGCCGAGCCCGCGACCGACGACGGCGACGAGCGAGCGAACCCCACGACCCAAGAGGAGGAGGAGGAGGAGGAGGAGCAGGAGGAGGAGGAGGAGGAGGAGGAGGAGGAGGGACCGACGAACCACGGCGGGGGGAGCGCCGCTGGAGAGTGGCGGGAGCGCCACGCCACCTCCGACAGAAACAAGCGCCGCGGGTTGAAGGCCAGGAGAGGCGAACAAAGGCGAGTGAAACACGGGGGAAACATGGCAAGACCATAATGCGCCGACCGGCGCGTGCCCAGAGCGACTAAATGGTGAGCAGCGGAGCAAACCAGGCGACATCGGTGTGTGACATGAGCGACGGAACGGTGTGTGAAAGGGCCAAGAATTTCTGACGGCCTGACTGTGCGGCAGTTCCACGCCAGCGACTTGGGCGTCATGTCGCACACTCTGCGAGGAAACCGCGCAGGAAACTCACGTCATGCTGCCCTGGGTCCAGCGCGTTGCCGCCGAGCTGCGCGCAGTGAGCTCTCCAAGCAATCTTGCTCTGGCCCCCCAGCCGCTTGAGAAGGGCCGCGAGCTGTCCCCCGGAGGCGCCCTTCAGGCCAGCCTGGTGTCCGACCGATTCAGAGCCCTCGGCTGCTTTGGGCTGGTCAGTCGGGTCCGCCGAGGCTGGCGGGGCGCACGTGCCAACCCGTTGCCGCCTGGGCATTGGCTTGTGGAGGACGATCGATGGACAGGAAGCATGTTGCCAAACATTTTCCAGATGTCTAACATATGTATTAAACATGTTTTCAATGTGTTAAAAACATGTTTGAGACATGTTTAGAACATGTTCTTCTGTACATAGTTAAAACACATATTTACTTCAATGGTTGGATTGTTAAGGTGTCCATTGTCATGGCATTCACAAGCGCTGGCAAGGAGTTCAGGAAGTCGATCACGACCTGTCGTGGGACCGTTGCTGGGCGAGCTCGCCCTGTCCATTTTTGCGATCGTCCCATGCGAAGTGGTCCCTGCGTTCGCCAGGCCACGGGGGGTCAGCCCGCGCCTTGATGACAATCAGCCAGAGGTCACCCTGCGTGAGCTGGGCGATTCGAGGTCTGTCCCAAGATAGCGCCTCCGCAGCGGGCGGATGGGCCATGATCGGTGGAGGATTGGTGGAACGCGCGCGTCTGTCACGCGTTGCTGCCACTTTCGCTCGCAGCGCCAATTGCCAGTCTGCCGTCCGCGGCGTCGTCGGCAACACAGCCGGCGCGAGAGATTTCTGGACCTCTGATCGCGCATCGGCGTCTCCCGCAGTTGTGCTGTCCGAGCGCGAGGGGTGGCCGTGCGTGCCCGGGCCGCTGGAAGCAGGCCGTTTGCTTCCTGGCTTGAGCTGGCGGCTCCATGGTTTTTCACTGGCTGGCGCGGGCCAGGAAGGCGCCGGCGAGCTTGCCAGAGCGTCCGCGACTGGGGGAAAGACGGCGTCGTCCTCGCGGTCCGCTCGCCGGGGACGTTGGACCAGTTCGCTCGCGGGGCTCTCTCCGTCCCCGCGTGCGTCCGCCCGTTGCCGCACTGCCCGGCGGGGCCCCGAGGGTCGCGGGCGGGCGACGCAGGCCGCAGCGGCGCAGAGCGGCCGGTAGCGACAAAGCGGCGCGTGGCAGGCTCGTCCTGGCATTCTTGGTCTGGGATGCTGTGGTGAGGCTGCGACTGGTCGGAGCAATGTGGGTCGAGGTGCCCTTTTTCACTAACTATCCCTCCCAAGTCTCTGGGCGCCATCCGTCGCGTCCTTTTCCGCTCGCGTCTAGGCGGGGGCTCCACTTGAAGAACGGAAAGCGGCATCGGTGGGCCTGGGCTCTGCCGCCTTGGCCCCCCAAGGGTCCCCCTGCGCCCTGCGTTGCCCAGAGATTGGTGGGCATGGCTCACGCAGCATCGACGTGATTGGTGGTGTAGCGTAGACAAGATTGGCGGTGTAGCATCGACAGGATTGGCGCGTGCATCCAGGACCGCCTCCTCGAGTCTCCCGTCGACGCACTCCCGGGACCACGTCGACGGCCTCCATCATCTCGACGCCCCCCTCATCCTCCATGGTCACCTCCTTGTCGCCTTCCTCGCCATCCTCATCGCGCGCGTCGTCGTCGTCGAGTGCCTTCCACACCTCCGCCGCCCCCCCGAATTCTTCCTCCTTGTCGACCATTCCGATGCCCGCTTCCGCCTCGTCGTCGACGTCCCCCAGCACCCCATGCCCTCCTTGACCGAGCCGCCGTTGTCAGGGCTGGCTGTCATAGCCCTTTCTCGCGCGCGCTGATGGGGGTGCTGCAGCAGATGATGGCGGGCCCCAGCTTCACACACCCAGTATCTCGTTGCACGGCGCTGCGGCCGGCAGCCGCTGCCCTTGCCTGTCCATCTCGCACGCGCTGATCGGGGTGCTGGAGCAGATGATGGCGGGCTCCAGCTTCATTCCCACCGTCTCTCGGAGCGGCTCGAGGGCCAGCTGCCATTTGTGAAGAGTGCACTCCCCTGCCCCTCTGCCGCCCGTGCCACCGTGTACGCATGAGGTACATGCTTTTCATGTTTGTGGCATGCACGCTGCCCGCCGCTGTTTTGGCCCTAGTCCTAGGGCCCTGGGACTGCACCCGCAGTTGGACTGCCGCGCGGTCCGAGCTAAAAGAACTGCACTGACATTGGTAGCAGAGCTTGTAAGCTCCAGCGGACGCACTGCGTGCTCTGCTTCGGTGGCTGTGACCACCCGCGCGGGCCGCCATGGCTGCCAGCCACGACGGCTCAGACGCGGAGGCTGCGTCCTCCGTCGGCGCAGGTCCCCGAGACCTGCACGCGGTCCTGCGCGTGATGGCTGAGACCCAGAGGGAGCTCTTGGCCTTGCATCGGGATCGCG